GTCCAGAAATCTTCCTTTTGGGGGGTGGGGGGGAAGGCGATGACGAAAAGGGGCTGTAGGGACATATTAAAGAAAAGCCTTAACCCAAAACTTAAATAGGTACCTTATTCACAAGCTTATAACCTAAACTTTAAGCTTTTTAAACCTCGTAACCCGGAAGACAGCATTTAATTAATATGTTGATGGAATCGGCATTTACTTGGTAAAAATTCATTATAAAAAATAATAGAACTTGTAATTTTTCACGATATTTTTCTTTTTTCCACTACAATTGTTTCGCTAACACAGTACCTTTTTCAAGTGGAGTGCAGCTACTATTATTTTTTTAATTTAATATGGGTTTAATGTTTTATGACAGGATTTTTTTAATTTTACTACTCTCGAATCAAGGTTTAGACACCTATAGGATGAACCCCCGATCGCCCTTATAACCTTCTCGCCATCAACAATCCCTTACAGAACACTGTGTAAAAAACTGTTACAAATGTTTTGGCTTTCATGTATGTCTTTTCAAAAAGAGATCGTCTAGAAATCGGATACCTACCTATGAGAAAAATAGTTGTTAAAGTGAGTGAAACAATTCTTTATTTTAGATGCCAGAAAAATGTAATAATTTAATCGTTTTCATAAAAAGTCTTACTGCACAAAATATAGTACATATCTATAGCTGTGCGTCCAAACTCATATCGTATTAAATTCAATAGAAGCTTTCCATTTAGTATTTTCTAAATAGAAAGAAATTTTGGAAGTTATTCACGCAGACTAACAGGAAGCAGAAATTAATGTTTAGAAAAAGACGCTTAAAATATGAAATAGAAATAGGCTTGTGTCTACTAAGAGCAAATAGGATGGATTAGAGTTTCTAATGATTAATCGCGATATGGAGATAACAAAAAATGAATTATTTATTATAAAAAGTAAAGATGTAAAATATTTTTAGACAATAAAACCGGTAAAATAAGGTTATAATTACGTGACAGTGAACACCAATCAGAAATTGACGTCACGCCGTGCAAAACACTATTGTGGTTGTTGATATTTTCCTTGATTAGAACAAGTTACTCGACATATTTTTTGTTTTGAGCAATTTATGTAAACTTAATGCAGTTGTTATAATTATATCTTGGAAGACGAGCACGGAACCAGGGTTTATGCTTGGTAGATTTTTTGTGGTAATTTTCTCATTATACGGTACAGAATATAATTAATCATATCATTCGGCAACTGGAAAAATACAACTAATACATATCATTTTATTAATATACTTGAAAAATTGTCATTTTACAAAATTCATCAGATTTTTATTAGATTTAGAAATAATTGTGTTGTGTGAAATATATGTGTATGAAGGTACTTATTTTAAAATGATCTTCACATTCTTAAATCTTTCGATAAACTATCATCCCTACTTGCAAGCTTTAGCCACTTTTTTGGTATTTGTTCATTATTGGGAACATATATATGTATAAATCATTTTTTGGTGTTTTTATAGTTGTGTTTTTACACTTTAGCACTACACAGTACTAATAATAAACGAGGAATTCATTTTTAATTAAAGAAAACTAACAACTGTTATAGGTACATGACACGATTTGTTTAGCACGACGTGACGTCATTTAAGACGCCATGACAGTTTGAGTGTTTTCGAGGTAAATTTAAATCGGTTTTGGAAAACAGAAAATACGTAAGGTAAATGTTAGATTTTTTGTAAAAATACACATTTTTTGAATAAAATAGATGTTAATGTACCGTCTTAACCAATCTTTCAAATTTAGTCAACTAGCCAATTAAACATTACCGTTTATTTTAAATTAGCAAGTTGTTTTTCTGTTTCATTGCGCTCAAGTTTATAAACTATGGGCAGATACTTAAAATTAGTTACTAAGTACAATCGACATTTGTTTCACGTCATCACGTGGCATCACAAGCACGTCTCACCGCGTACCTAACCGTCTTTGCCTCTTAGTTTAATGAATATTCCTTGCAATTTGTCCATTCCATTAACAGGCAATAAAGTTTACTGGCCGTTATTTTGAAACGCCAAAACAAACACGCAATAACCATAGCTCTTTGTGTTCCAACAAGCGCTTGTAAAATTTACATTTTCCATCCTGTCACAGAGGGACCGTCCACTTCTACGATACCTGTGCCTGGCTCTCGTCGACGATCATTCTGTATTCCTTTTCCATCGGTACCCTTATATTGCCAACATACAGTAATTCCAACGACAAAACGAACGAACGAATGAATGAATGAGTGAATGAGTGAATGAATGAATAAATGGATGAATGAATTAACAACACCTTATGGATTTTATTGTTTACCCATTACTTATTTTATTGCTTCAAAAATATCAGTTTATCAAATAGGAAACACCCTTGTCACGATTCGTATACCCTATTACATCTAATAATGGCTAATAGGTACGTGTTTAACTGCCATTACGCCTATCTCTCTATCTACCTACCTGTGGGCCTGTTTTATTACTGTATTTGTATTTGACGCTTTTGTTCTTATTTGTTGATAGCACACAAATTCGGGTCTACCTACATACATATATATATAACAGACTGGTTTATTCCATAACGTTTATGAATGAATTGGCAGGTACGATACTACCGTATTTTCAAATCGAATACCAGTAACAGTTTTATGACTAGAGATTTTAACGATTGATAAGACGAGAAACTTATTCAATGTATTGTCTGTGAATTTGTGTCGTAGGTTTGTCTCATGATACTGTGTATATCTCAAGTAGGTAACAAAAAAATTCTGTGAACTGCATGAAAGAAAAGTCGATTGCAACAGTACAAGATAAAGGCATTAAAGGCGCAGTTATAAATAAATTAAAATGGTAAGGTTCTATAATTTTAATAACTTTTTGCAGTATCGATAATAGCGATTTTCATGTATATTCAGACTTTCAAAAATTCATAACTCGGAAAATATTAACTTTACCAAAAAAACTTTTTTTATCAAGATTAAACCAAACAATATAGGTGACCAGAAAAAGTTTTTTTGGCATTTGTTTAAACAATATCCGACAGGTCTTCCGAACAAAATTGCATAAAAAAATTTAATCCAAATAATTTTTCTTACTCACCCGTCCGTATTGTCTGGACTAAAACACATAAACAGTATACAACCTGAAGAGAGAAGGCCCTCCGGACTTGGAACTCAAAAGGCACTTCATTGAAGGGATAGTGAGATGAGATCATCCGAATGTATATTGTAGAAATTAAATTAATTACTTAACAAATAATTATTTCGTCTGTCCTAAATACAGTCTGGACTTCATATATAACAAATTCCTATTAACAATAAAAATTGCTTAAAATGTAGAAATTACTTGACTTTAGTTCGTTTTCCTTATTACCCAATTATTTATAAAACATTTATTATTTGTTTGAAAACGCTTTCATCGTATTAACGATTCGCTGTATTTATACAGTTTTTTTACCTCTATATCGAAATAGAGGCGCCAAATTAAATGATTACTTACAATTACAGACCTCTTCGAATTATTTTAATCAATACATAAATTAATTAGTCACTATTTTAGTTAACTACTAATTAAATTAGCTTATGTTCAGTTAGATAGGTTAGGTTAAGTTAGTTTAGTACACATAGTTTATTGTGGTTAGTTAGTTAGACCACATGAATTTAAACATTAATCATACATTAACATACTAGCTGACCGTTATGTTTAAATACTAGCCCTTTATATTTAATACTGACATATAGTGTTTATATATGTTAAGGGAAAAATGTGTAATCCGTCATTATATACAATTCCTAGGAAATGCGTATAATTCCTAAAATTGCCCGGAAATGTGTGAAGTAAACTATATTAGACACATTTCCTAGGAAATCTATACATTTCCTAAATAGCAATCGGAAATATATTACATTCAAGATGTCAATGGGTACGCGGGGATAGCGGAACGAGGGCAGCGTTCTCAGTTTTTTTAATTATTTATTTTATTCACAGGAAGCACTAGTTTTTTACATTTCCTAGTTCAATATCGGAATTTCATACAATTCCTAGGAAATGTATACATATGTAGGTATTAAAAAATCTTTGAAAAAATATTTTATATATTTCATAAATAGCCTCGGAATTGTAAACATTTCTTAGGAATTCCTAGGTTTTATACATTTCCGGTAACATCCGGAATTCACGGCTTGACTTGATATTTACCTCGTCTTGACGTGAAATCAAATAAAAATCAAGCCAAGTAGCTAATACATTTCACATTACTTGCTTATTTGGAAAATCAAGTTCTTTAAGTCGATAAGATTTATTCAAGACTAAAAACTTGATTTCTTTGTTAATCATTTTATATCTTCAAGTTATTTTTTTGCTAAATTGTGATTTTCTTTACTGACAGTGTCGAATTTAACTCTTCAATGTGACTCAGAATGTACGCAAAACACACGAAATGTTTAATTTTAGTGTCAATACTAGGAATAAAGCATTCCAATTCATTTTAATAAAGATAAAATATCAACTTCGATAATGAAATGAGTTGTACTTTCATGGTGCCCTTTTATACCGAAATAAGACCAACCTAGTTTAAAAGAAAATTGCATTTCATTATGAATATATTTTTATTCTCAAATATTTCATAATTGCATAAATAATTCGCTTGGATTGATATCAAGTACTTAGGTAATATTAAGAAGCTTAAAATTTTTTAACAAGTCAATTTTTGAAAGGCTTATTTTTGTTAATAAAAATAAGGAAAAGCTTCCAAAAGGTCTATATTCATATTATGAACATCGTCACCTTTGAAATCAAATATAACGACTTTTTACAGTAGAACAATTTTATTAATAAAGACAATAAAATTGTGTATTTTATTTCAAAATATTCAGAAAAGGCTTGTTTTGCATATTGTATTTGAAAAGTATTTTTCATTCTAAAGGTGATTTTAGTTTTAAGTTATTTTTGTGAACAAACGCCTAGGTGTGTAGATAAAGGTATGTTTCGGATATTTTGTGGCACCCCCATCACGTTCTTTCGAACCTCTTTGTCGGTTATAACGTTGACAGGAATAACAAAAGTCAAAAATAGCCACGAAACATTGTCTTGTATCTTTGTACCTACTTATATCGCACTGTGCTATTGCTAATTCTAAGTAAGTACACAAGTCAAGTTTGTTCATGGTTTAGTCGTATTATTTTAGGCCTGTTAACAGGTAGGACTCAAAACGCTTCTTTCAACCTGTGACGAATCTGGTTATTGTCGTCCAAGATTACCGAACACCCCACGGCGCGGCCGTAGCTTCTCGTCCTAACAGTCCGTAAGAAAAGTGAAAATTGATTTCACGTACGTCACTCACACCATACACATTACTAGCCGTCGAAATGGGAAACGCCAAAATATTGGAACCATCCATTCGATTCACGTCATGCCCGTTGTTAGTAAATTATTTGCTTGAAAAACAGAACTACTAAAATACATGTTTAGATATCTGTACAGGTAACTGAGTGACATTCCGGAAATGGACTGACACTTAGTTTTTCTTAAGTTCGTGTTGTGGTAATTATCCAGAATTGGCGCTCCAGGCCAACATCGCACCAAAAATTTTTTCATCGATTTCCGGTCATTCCACATAATAGATTTAGATATTAAAAGGTTGGAGAGACAATTTCTTATTACTTTATGACTTCATAAATAAAAAATAATTTTTTCAATGATAATTTTGCAAAATTCAAATCACAGTTCTAAACTATAGGTGCGGGAAGGGATGGGTAAGGAGATCAGGGGCGGAAGGGGGGGTTAAAAGTTATACAAGCTTTTAATCTCCTAATCTCACGATTGTCACTGCATAAATTTCTTTTATTAATATTAAAAGAAGAAATGGGTATACATACACCGTATACCCTATGACGTATGCTGTAATAAAGAAAACCGTATCTCNAGGGGCGGAAGGGGGGGTTAAAAGTTATACAAGCTTTTAATCTCCTAATCTCACGATTGTCACTGCATAAATTTCTTTTATTAATATTAAAAGAAAAAATAGCTATACATACACCATATACCCTATGATGTATGCTGTAATAAAAAAAAACTGTGTCTCTCCCGCCTCAAATATAATCATTAAACACTCAGAAATGAGTAGAAATCGATGAAAAAATTTTTGGAGGGATTTTGGTCTGGAGCCCCAACTGTAGGAATTGTATGATATTCCGATATTGTACTAGGAAATGTATAAAATTAATGCTTTCTGTGAATAAAATACACTAACGAATCAGGCAGGAACATTAAATTAACTCTAATCTGGCATAAATCTACCTAACCTTGCAGGTAAATATCTAGAATTGGGACAGTTTTGAAAAATTATCATTCAAAAAATTTTTTTTTATCTATGAAGTTATAAAAGACTGTCTCCCCCATTTAGAATGACCGGAAATCGATGATTTTGGTCTAGAGCTCCAATTCTGGACAATTACTCTCATTCTTTTTTTGAAACACCCTTTTATCCCCAAAAATAGCATAAAGTTATGTATATCATTATACACTCTGTACTGGTTTGTAGTAAAAGTTAACAAGAGCTGTTATAGCTATAAACGAAAAAAATGTAATCGCTCACATTAAATCGCATCTAAGAACTCTAATAAATCTAACATCATTGTAGGAAATTTTCAAAAATTTAATGTGCCCTTTTAATTGATAATTAACTAACAAATAAAAATTGTAACTAAAATTCCGTTTCGTACTGCAAACCCTTAAATATTTTCTTATCAATAACTTAACAATATGAATCGCATATTGCGACATTGAAAACTATGACATCTCTTACTATATCCATCATATCAAGTATAAAAAATTAAAAAAAGGGAGAAAATGGTTTTTCTATTTTAAATTAGAAATTCGTGATTAATTAGGTTTTGTAGCATATCATGAGGTAAATAAATACTATCTATACTAAAAAAAAGTATATGGTTTGAGAGAAAATTTGGAATTTGACCAAAAACTTTGAATAAAATAAGAAATAACGAATAATATGGAAAATTTTTAACTGACTTTTGGCAGTGAATATGCCTTGATTTCAACTTCGAAACAAAAAAATATTTAGTTTCAATCTTTATTAATAATGAGCGTAAAACTTTTTAATATGTTTAAATAATAATTAAAACTTTAAAATTGCATTTATTTCAGACAATTATAAATATTATCATTATATTATCAAGTAAAAACGAGATTTTCAGCTAATTTTTCATTTTTTCCTCGATAACCATTTAGTGAATTTGAATAACCTTACGCTAAAGTGATTCTCCAGAGTTCAAGTTACTTATTATAAAAGTTTGAAATTTCTGGTAGCTTTTTTTCTGTTAATAAAAATAAATTTAATCTGTTCGGTTAACGAATCTCCATAAAATGACGTGTAAAATTACAATTTTTTAAAATTTCAATAACTTTTTAACGGTTTAGTGAATCGATTTGTAATTTTTACAGGAGTTTTAGAATTGAATGAGGAACGTTCTTCCAAATTTTTATTTGTCTCGTAGCATTTTGACATACCTCCCAAACAGCCTTAAGTAAAATTCAGAGGCATAAGGTGATGAAAAAACCAGGCTATTCAGTATCTTAAAAACTAATATCATTTACACTATGAATAGATTATAATTTGAGAACTATTGATTTATTTATGTATTTTTATATTACGTTAATCTAAAATTTTTGTGCGTGTATTATTCTGCTATAAATTAAGAATGACACGAAATGCATTAAAGGACATTATTAACGGCAATAATCAATATATAACATGGCATTTCTTAAAACGATTTCCTGTTGTAATAAGCAATAAATGACAAAACTAAATTTATTTTCATGTGCGACAAATTAATATTGAAACACATTTATATCTCCAATCACAATTATTACAGATAAGTAAGATTTCTTAATCGAATAGGCATTTAGGTAAGTAAATTTGTTAAATTATCTTATTTCAATAAAATAACCACCGCATTAATTTAAATTAATTTGTCATATTAATAACCTTCTCTAGTTCCGTTTTTTATTTGTTTTTATTTATTGATATCTATGGTATTACGGTCCAAACAATTGAACATATGCAATTATGTAATACAATACATTTACATTTTTTTAAAAAAACTTAAATTGAATAGGTAAGTCAAAAGAGGTAGGGTTAGCTTGTAAGTGCAGATTAAAAACAATATTTTACTGTTTTTCTATATTTAGTTTTGCGAGTTTCTTCGCGATCTTTTAAAAAAAGTTTTTTAAAGACGCAAGCAGTTATTTGTCCCTAAAATAAATTTATTTTACAATTTAACTTTTGTTTTCAGAGGTGCAAAGAGAAATTAAATACCTTGGCGATAAGTGTCATGAACATGTGGCCAGGAGTGAAATTGAGGGTTACTGAAGGCTGGGATGAAGAAGATCATCACACGAGCGATTCGTTGCACTACGAAGGACGAGCGGTAGACGTAACGACATCTGACCGCGACAGATCGAAATACGGCATGCTCGCGAGACTCGCGGTCGAAGCAGGCTTCGACTGGGTCTATTACGAAAGTCGAGCTCATATTCATTGCTCAGTTAAGTCAGGTAATTGTTTAATCACTATTTTAATATATTACACATATCTCAATTACAATAAATGCGTAATAATATCACACCTTTCTCTTAAAACCCGCTGCTAACAACTCACTAATAATTATTCCTTTTTTGGTTTAGCAAATAGAAAAGATTAATCAAAATTCATATCAGTAACTTATTATGTTGACCAACTAAAATCTTTGCAAAAAAATCAATGATCAAAAGTTTATTTTTTACTAAAGAAAATGATTTTTTTAAATAGTGAAAATTTATACATGGATAGTCATAATTAATTTTAAATTTTATTAATAAGTCGTATTCTTTTTTTATTATTATGCGTTATTTAAAAATGTCATATGAATGAATAAATGGATGAATGAATTAACAACACCTTATGGATTTTATTGTTTACCCATTACTTATTTTATTGCTTCAAAAATATCAGTTTATCAAATAGGAAACACCCTTGTCACGATTCGTATACCCTATTACATCTAATAATGGCTAATAGGTACGTGTTTAACTGCCATTACGCCTATCTCTCTATCTACCTACCTGTGGGCCTGTTTTATTACTGTATTTGTATTTGACGCTTTTGTTCTTATTTGTTGATAGCACACAAATTCGGGTCTACCTACATACATATATATATAACAGACTGGTTTATTCCATAACGTTTATGAATGAATTGGCAGGTACGATACTACCGTATTTTCAAATCGAATACCAGTAACAGTTTTATGACTAGAGATTTTAACGATTGATAAGACGAGAAACTTATTCAATGTATTGTCTGTGAATTTATGTCGTGGGTTTGTCTCATGATACTGTGTATATCTCAAGTAGGTAACAAAAAAATTCTGTGAACTGCATGAAAGAAAAGTCGATTGCAACAGTACAAGATAAAGGCATTAAAGGCGCAGTTATAAATAAATTAAAATGGTAAGGTTCTATAATTTTAATAACTTTTTGCAGTATCGATAATAGCGATTTTCATGTATATTCAGACTTTCAAAAATTCATAACTCGGAAAATATTAACTTTACCAAAAAAANCGTTGGGTTGACAATCGCAACCCTGTACCAAAATCTCCCCGTAGAGAGCGAACCACCAGATCACCAGCGGACACTTTTCTCCTAGAAGTCAAGAAAGAGTAAAGGTACGACCAATTAACTTAATCTTCCTCAGTGACTCGCGACCCCTACCTAATAAGTTGTGTTTTATATTTATTGTTGTTCGTTTGTCGTTAGTTTAAGTCTTTCAGCATATGTTGATTTGACAATGACTGTGCGGAATATACAAAACAAGGGGCGAGCGTGTATTAGTGCACACGCGTAAGAAGTGAAACTTCTTTAGATTGTATATTGTAGTAGTATTTAAACAAAATTGGCTTAAACTATTGCATTAACTAATTTCTAAACACCAGAAAAATACATCTTTATTTCGAGCGGACGAATGCAGAATATAGGTTTAGTTTTGTTAAAAACTTTTACGCTTGCACCATACGAAACTGCAGAGGAATTAAAATCAAAACAGACCCAAACGCAGATGCAATACATACACAGTACATCGTAAGTGCGACCTGCTGACAATTTGTCGAAATGGCATGACAATTTTCAGATTATCGGTTGCTACTAACAGGTTAGCATCTGAAGCATAGACGTATATTAACGCCGTATGTCGTTGTAATAATTTCTTGGTTTGAAAAGTGAGGGAGATAGGTTATGGTTTTGGACTAGTGCTATCACTTTCATGACACGCTTACGCATTATTGTGAGGGAGATAGATATTGTCCGAAACTTCCTTCTAACTCCTTCTTTTGTTGTTTCACAACTCTGACTGCTAAGGCATGTCCATTAGTAAACGTCCATGATCTGAAGCATGTTAAAATGACTCCTTTTGGACATATCTACCAGAGGTCAGACGCGGTGCGTGACGTGACGCGTGACGTTACACTTTTCGGTTTTATAGCTTGGTAAATTCCCTTCCTATCGTCGATAAAGAAGTTTAACTTCAATAATAGAGGGAAAACAGGTGTTTTAATGATAAACCTCTTATACGCCAAGTGACCCCCTCTCATAATCGATACACTCTCATTTATTTATAGGTATATTATCTAACTAATTCTTTTAGGTTAATTTTGAAATATTTTCCCTTTCGTATCTTAAGAAAGGAACATCAATTTATCCTTAATAGTCCACTTAAACAGAGAGGAATCGTTATAGTCCTATACCTTTTCTTCATATATGGAAACAGTTATCCATTCATCCGGTTTCGGCTGAGTAGTTGTGTTAGTGTGTGCAAATGGATCGTTTAGATATAGAACATTACTTGCGTCGACGGCCGACCGACCCATCATGACGCCGTACGGCGTCGCGTCCGTCGACAGCGTCGCGACGTACTTCTTCCTCTACATCATCATTATCATCATCTCTTCATCGTCGTCTTCCTCGTAAGCGGATGTTGCCGATGTCGTAATGGAGAGCAAAAGGCTGCATTTTATGGCTTTCATGATCCTTTTAATGTAACTTTGGCCGGTAATCGCCTGTCCTGTTTGTGGTAAATTATTTGCCGTTGCACGCTGGCCCTTTGGGAATATCTGCTTTTGAATGGGCTCCTACGACACACACGATTAGATACATTTCATTGATGATACACGCAAGGATTGTGACGATGAGATGTTACGATCGTGGGATTGAAAGGGAATTTTATATTTTTTGCGTCTGCTTTTATACATTGAATTCAAATAAAAAAAAAAGAAAAAGTATTTCAATAGTAGGTACAAATTTTCAAAATAAAATAAAATCCAAAAATGTCTGACCCTGGCGAAAAATAATAATCTGAGAAAAATTTAAAATAATCTAGGATATGTTGAATCAGATCCTTACTGAATTTAAAGTATGATCAGAGGATTAAGAGTCAACAAAAACTCAGTTAAGACGAATTATTATTCGCAACGTTTCGTATCCTATATTTAATTAATTATAAATATCTTGTCAGATTTATCAGTCCATATTACAGTAATAAATAAATCAATCAGTTTTCTACAGCAGCAAATAACGATTGGTTTATTTATTACTGTAATGAGGACTGATAAATCTGACAAGATATTTATAATTAATTTGACTAAGTTGAGAGAGAATATTATGAGCGCCTGATGAAGTGTCAATATAGGATACGAAACGTTGCGAATAATAATTCGTCTTAACTGAGTTCTTTATTGACCCTTAATACTTTGATCGTATTTTAAATTTAATTATCATCAAGGATCTAATCCAACATATTTATAATATCTGTAAATACACGTGAAAAAAAATTTGTATGGAATGTGAAATTTGGCATAATTAAAGTTCATATATAGAGGAGTGCAGAAAAATAAAATTTACGTATAATATGCGTTACAGATAGGTATATTAAATTAAGCAAAACAAAACATGCATTGTTCATACACTGCAAAAAATGAGCGAAAAGTCGAGTTGATGATTATAGAGGTACCTCTATACTCTTTGACAAAAGAACCTCAATAACTTTCAAAGTTGAAAACTTAATAATTGCCGTCGAATTTTCACTACTAGGCGACCACTAGTTCCTATTATTATTAGATTGTTATACATATAAAAGTTAATTACTTTTTTAGTTTTAATTTCTATTTTATTTCTATGTACCTATAGCTTTTAAATTATCACTATGTATAGGTGCTTAAAATCTTTATATACTTAACATAAAATTTTATTATTGCAAATTAATGATTTAAAAATATGGCATGTCCATGCAGTTCAGATTAACAATTTTCAATAGATCGTAATTGTTAAAATACAGAATTTATAGTAGCTCTCTTTAAATATCACTTTCCTTGTCAATTCAACTGTAAGTGTAAATTATTATCTATAAATAGGTAGTTTTAACATTAAGAAAGTATAAAAAGAATTAGGAAATACGCGGGTTTAATTTTTTTATTTTCAAAACCCTCCATTTGAGTTTACCTTTAATACTTCAATTTACCTGAGCAAAGTAAAAGTTTTGTTTATTTGTAAGTCTATTGGATTGGCATACCCATTAAGATTTGAGGATTTGTAAAAGATTGTCGAGGATGGTTCAAAGCACGTTGGGTCTGTGTGTAATCGCATTAGACAGGTTAAAACAAGCATCGAAAAAGGGCAAAATACGTACACTTTACGACTTAACGTTGCTACTTTAGGATTAAAAATATATTGGTTTCCTATAATCCATTTCTACGAAAATTCTTATGAATCGGTCAGGTGTAAACAATTCGAAATTCACGCAGTGTTGACTCCACAAGATCAACATTTTAGGCCAATTAGAAAATTTAACGGATGATTAGCTTTTCCCTATGATTCGGTTTTGAGCTTTCAAAGCGGCATAAAAAGAGGGGATTCCGGTTATGACTTTAGCCTCTTTCGGCAACAGTCAAACGTTTCGTTTCTTTTAAATTTAATTAGATTTAGTTTCAGTAGAAAACACAACAAAAACCACCGTTTCGGCTTCGTTTTGAGACATTAGCAAAGAAAAACAAATAGGTATATTTTCCATTATACATATAACTGATGCATACCTATTTTGATAGTACCTACTTTTTGTATTTACAATTTTTAGAAAATAATTTGGGTTCGTCATGTACATATGTTTAAATTCCCTTAATTAAAATTAATTATAATTTCGACTGAAAAATTCTGGAGGTATTCTGTATGTATGTTGCAAGTACGTTAATGATGCTTATAATAATATAAAAATCTGTCGGTAACTGAATAATGCCCATAAGAATTAAGGAACGATTTAGTAAAAAGTGCGGATTTGGGACTGTTGACGTGCTGGCGCTGATTCGAGACTAAAAGGATTGGGGGATAAGCACCTGAGTATAAGGATAAGAACCATTAAAAGTGTGACGAGACCCGGCGGCCTAATCTTTGAATCGTTGTTAATTTCACTCGCGTTTCGCCTTTAATGTCCGGCACAAACTTTATAAGCATCATCGGAGGCTTGGAAAGCCGACGTTAACAAATGACTGTTTGCTCTGGTCGCTTGATAGCGTAGAACGTGTTAATGGATCGGGTGCCGTTTGGAAATTAAATACTTGTGACCGGTGCACGAGATAAGCGGCTGTAACAGGTATCCCGATAACCGAACTGGACACTGGATGCACAGCAGGAGAAATTTCTCTGCAACCACCTAATCTATATACATACATACATATACCCATGTTCAAGACATACATATGTGTTTCAATATACATATGTATTCAATCCACAGGTATATATTAACACACGTGGAATGCATGATAAATTCGTAAACGATTTAACACTTCTAAGTTCTGATTAATAATAATAATTCAATTTAAATATATCAAACAAATGAAGTTTTCTTTTTCTAGAATCTTCTCAAGCTGCCAAATATGGAGGTTGTTTCTCTGGAGATACATCAGTGATAACAACGAACGGAAGACGTCGTAAGCTATCAGAACTTCGAATAGGGGAATCGGTGTTATCGTGGGATTCTAATACAAACCGATTTGTGTTCAGTGAGGTGCTAATGTTTTTGGATTGGGATCCGATGCAGAGGCGACCTTTTCTACAAATAAAGACTGTTTCCGGTCGGACTCTAACAGTGACACCGTCACATTTGCTTTTAACGACGTTCTCCAACGACACGAGGATAGTGTTTGCGGAAAGATTACGTGTTGGTGATAAACTTATAGTAATAAACGAAAAAAACTCTTTAATTAATGAAAAAATTGTGAGTATCAGGCCGATAATTAAACGGGGAGTTTTCGCCCCTCTAACAACCACCGGTACCATTATAGTAAATGATGTTGTCGCATCCTGTTACGCAGTTATAGATAGTCAATCGATAGCCCATTGGGCATTTTTACCTTTCCGATTAGCTTTAAATGCAAAAGATGGCTTCGCAAGGATATGGAGTTTATTAGCAAAACCGATCGAAGGATGGAAAGACACTTCCGCAACAGTTACAAAAACAACCCTACCCACGCCTGGGATTCATTGGTATGCCACAAGTTTATATAATGTCGCTAAATATATTGTCCCTTCGTATTTACTTTATACTTAATCGAACTCATTCCTTGTTGGCAAATTTGATGGACTGCACTCGCTGTTATCGATCAAAATGTCACAAGAATAAATAATCAAACTGTCTCGAACTGTTGGTGGATCTTTACTTTTTGTTTCTAAAATTATTTTTTATGTAACACAGAATTAACTACATTTCACATTTTAAGATTTTCGTAAAGGTTAAAGTACAGTGTAAACTCATATAACGAAATTTAATGAACTGAGTATTTTATTACGTTATTGAGAGTTTTCGTTAAATGGAAGATAGAAAATATAACATAAGTTTCTCTTACAGATAAATAATCTTAAATATCTACTTGATCACATGTGTCAAAATATTTACAAATATAGTTATAACACTCACAAGTGTAGGTAAGCAATTAATAACAAATGCTAGACAATAAAACCAATCGATAGAACTGTTCTTATTAATTTCGGCAACTTAGGTATCGTTTTCAACCGGACAATTTTTTTCGCTATTGCGTATATCATTGTATGGGTAATAAAGTAAACCAACTAAGCACATGTAATTTCTACGCATTGGGGAGTTACTCATTGAATATGTGCTTGTTATATGGAGTTTACATTCTGATTGTTTAGATCAGGGGTGACTAACCCGATTCATCATAGTTTTATAAAATATGTTTATTTTATAATTGCCAAACTAAGGAAAACCAATGTATCGAAAAAAAAAAACATTACTCGTATATCCATATTTAAAAATTAACTGCCGAAATTATGAGAAAAAAACAATATTTTTGTGAATATATGACAAATATTGCCTATTTTATTAATGACATTACAGTTATGATTTCAAAAAAATGCCTACAGTGGATATGGAGATCTATAATTTTATATGCGGCCCGCGGAGTCGTTATTTATTTCCAAAAATGATCATTTAAGTTGACTACTCCTGGTTTAGATAATAAGACCATTATTAAGAATGGGAGAAAGAGGCGTAAAATAAATTAACTAAATTCTAACTTTCTCATAGGAGCAGCAAAACAAAGCAAAAATTACTCCATAATTTTTTTAACTACGTTTCCACCTAAAACACTTTGTTCTACAAAGTCATCTCTACCACTACAGCTATTCCCACCTCTTATCGATTGTTTAAATCTTTAAACTTAAACAATAGTTAAATTCAAAATTTTTGGCATTCACGACAAAAATTAAAATTGATTATTGTACTTTTTCAACATTTTCAACGACGTATCAAAGAGTAAAGACACAATAACAGATATATAATATATCGAATAGAAAATAAGAAAAAACTATGCCGGCTGCGGCTATTGTTCCTTTTATTTTAACGGAAAACAAAAATGGCATTGCAATCTCTAGCAAATCAATGAGATTGCAAACATCACATGTAACCGAAATGAAAATCTCATTAGTTTATTTTTACAGCAATTTCATCTCATAAAATGTTGATATTTGGTATAGTTTTTAAGCAGGTAAGCAATAACTTGTGAAAATGTTTACCTTAGTAAAATTTGTGTAGTATATCTGACATTTCGTCTATTGTTCTAATTATCTTTTAACTTCGTATTGGGGAAAAGAAATGCAGAAACTGAATCCAAGCATACTTACCAAGAATTCCGAGATGAAATGCCCGTTTCGAAGGACTACAAGAGAGTGAAAACAACCACATGACAGTGATATTAATCAAATTTTCTAAAAAAGTGTTTATTATTTTTTTCCTTTTACTATTCTAATACAATATTAAGGATTAGTCCCATGGTTAAACAAATATTTTGATGGTCAAACTTGTAAATTTTTTGTATAAAGGTAATGAATAAAAACAAAAATTTTTTGTAAAACTTATCAAATTCACTGTTGTGTGGACTATTTTCAGTCTTCCTAGTCCTAATCTAAAATTTACAAAATGAAACTACTAAAAGTATGTATTAGTATTATTATGCAGCTTGTCACTGCTAATTAAAAAGTATTAAACATTATTCGTACTTAAGTCGAGTTTGACATTCATCAACAGTTAATTAAATTAGTCAATCTGTTATTGCCGTAGAAATAAAATAATGTAACAGAAAACGTTTATGTAGAACTAAACCCAACTTTGTGATTGTAAATAGGCGTTTTATTTGTAGCCAGTTTATGTATATAATGTACAATGTAAATTTTATAGTTACTGAAATGTTTGTAAATTATAACTATTTATGTAATATATATTTATGGTGATAAATTTTATTTGATAATAAATAAAACATTTTTACAATAGCTTCTTCTCCATGTTGACAAATCGAAAGGTATCAACGCTTCGTCTATTAAAAAAATGGATCTCAGAACAGTTACTTTAGCAAAATTTCAATCTAGGAATTGAATTAAATAACTAGATAATAAAAATTATGTTTAATAAAAATTTTTAATATNAATCTATGATTATTTACAAAATTTCAAAGGAAAAACAACAAAACAAAAACTTGCACCTGAAAATAAAAATTTAATTCTTTTTGTAGGTAATAAATAAACAATGCTTTCGAAATAATATATACCTTCTTTGGTCAATTAGTTTGAAGATCGCGTTGTTGATTAAAATCTTTGTTGTGTCTCTGTAAGACACGAAAAACTGTATCTTTGAGAGTTTGCGGCTTACAGTACTCCTCTAACCAACTGAAAACACCGGCAGATAATTCTCTAAAATTGCTCACAGAAACACTGCTAAACGTGACGAAAAGTTGCTCCATTATTAACTGAAACTTTTTAAAAAAGAACATGAAAAATAACACTAATTGTTACTTATGACATTGCTAAAAAGTGTTAGATCGATACACTTAGGACTCAGTGACTGGCACATAAACTAGACTACGTCTGCATGTAACCGTCTGTTAATTATACAATGTATTGACAAAAAACGCAAGATTTTTTAAATGAAATATATTTGCGCGTAGTAACACTATTTCGGTGCAAGTGGTGCATCAGTGATAATAAAGTAAACTTAATAAACTTGGTTGCAGTTTTGGTAAATGTCTCGATTAATATGCTTAGTTCTAACTTCGTTAAAATTTTAGTATGTTGTACAGTTTTGGAGAATATATATACATATATGTTGGGAACGGAAATCATTCCTTCTCCTAGTTTTGGTGGTTGAAAAAAAGTACACAAAGCAACCAAACCCACATAAAAAAACAAGTGAAACAATCAAATTCAACCCGAGATACACAGTAATGACAACATTCGCTTCATCCACTCCTTTCTCCCTATCGGTTTTCCTCCTTTTGCGCACCTACAAAAAAGCTTATTTTTATTCGCTGTTACTTTACTTTTTTTTCAACTCCCACAACTAGGAAGAGGTTTCCGCCTCCCACTACTGTACAGCATACCAACAAATTTCAACGAAATCGTAGGTGAGCATACTAATCGAGGCATTTAACAAAGCTTTCAATAATAAGTTTATCATCTTACCAAGCTTATTTACAAACAAGTGTTCTTTTTCTTTTGCGCCAAACAAATTCTTTTTATTTAAACAATACCTGTTTGAATCTTTGAAATTTGTATTAACAAAAATTGGAAACCATGAATTCTTTTTGTTCAACTTTTTGATTTTTTTTTTAGTATGAAAAGCAAAACGTCCTTTTTTCGGCATATAAATGAAATAAAATTGAGAAATTTTGGGAAAAAATATAGGGAATAAAAAATTCATAGGACAACGCAGCCGTATGCCCTACATTTGTTGAGAATTTCATTCCCGACTGTACTTTAGTAGCATTGAATTTATTAATAATGCATTCAAAAATTCAAATTTAATTTAATAAAAAATANAATTTTAAGCTGTTGAAAAACAGTTTTTGTTTTTAATAGATTTTCAGGGCCTGTCAGCTACATGATATGAATTGCCTAAAGCTGTTATAGTACAAACTAAACGAAATTATAAAATTACTATTCATAAATATCGTAATTTAATTATTTTGTCTAGAATATTATAAATAAATTAATATTTTGTAATGTTGGTTGCTGATCGTGTTGGGTTTATTTTCACAATACAGTTTATGTAATAACCATGTGCTTGTTAGAACATAAGGTCAGCTGGGTAATAATAACGACTTTTATTATAATCTTACCACTGAAAATTTGACTTCATCAGAAACCCGCATTTCCGTCTGACCAGGTTGAGCCTGTTGGGCTCTTACAATTTGTTCATAATTAGTTTGCATTATCTGAAGGGCTACTACTTCCTTTCTTAGAGCGTTCCGTTCCTCTTCCTGTTTCTTCTTCTGCTGATGAAGGTACTGAATGTAATCGATTGACTTCTGAAGTACTGTAGCTTTGCTTAATTTGTATCCTTTAAAAAAATAAACAATCTTTACTAAACAACTTTTTCAACATTTAATTAATTAATATCAACTAATCATATTAATTTTTAAAGCTAACAAACTGACATATTTTCCATGTTTTACATATACATATATATATTCTTGTTCAGGATGACGAACTCTACAACATATTAAGTTTCACGAGTAAATTACTAAAAGAACATGCACTTACAGTGTAAATCCAATAATAAATGGAATTACAATGGCACAAAAATTAATAAAATATACATTCATTGTCAAAACAAAAAATTTAACATCTAACCTAAATTTGAAATAACAAATGCAATAAATTTATAATTACAATCATCAAATTTCATACCTGAAGAATCAGTTTGCTGGCATGTAGGAACTAATTCTTGTAAGGTATCATAACCTTTTTTGATGGCATCTCGTCGTTTTTGCTCAGCCTGTGTATGAGCTTCTCTTCTTCTTTCTTTATAACTTAGTGGTGAAGTTTTGTTTTCAATTTCATCTTCCTCATCTGCTGTAATTATAATGCTAAGAAAATTTCAACACAGATGAATTTGTAAAAACCTGTATTATGTGTTGAAGCACTTGAATTTCTTATGTTTCCTAAACTGCTGCTTCTTTTGTTCAGTTGTTCTCGAGAAAGAGGACTGTTTGTTTCACTCTTAATACGACCGTCAATCCTTTGGCCTTTGCAATAATATTACATTATTAAACTTTAATATCTAAAAACGATTTATGAAGCAACTTACCATAATTGAAATCGTTACTGTTAACAGAAATAGATTTGTCCATAATAAAATATTTTATAATTAAATCACTAATAATTACTAAGCCATGTGTTACCTTTCAAAAATATATTTCTGCTCGTTTCAAATTATCACCTCTTGAAAATAATATTTTCCATTGGAAGCATTAGCCAATTACACTGTTGAACATAGATACTATGTTGAACATTTACATTTTATTTATCTCGCAAGTAAGGTTAATTGCGCCATTTCTAACGTAAATACGAAAGATTACGCTATTGCATGTGTAATGCTGGTAAAGTAAGTTTATTTTATTACTTTTTTAGGTTATTAATTATCAGGAAACCTGCATTCAATAAAATTGTTTATAAAAACAATTGTTACGTAAACGGTTTTTTTTATCAGCTTTGTCACAATATCACATTTAGTTGACTTCAGAGGTCAATCAGAATACATGTGTAAATTGTGTACAAGGTACTCATGTATAATGGACTGTTTTCAAAATACCGTTTAATAACACACCAACAAAAATTTCTAGATTGTGCATCTTTAAATTTACTTAATACGTATGTTTCCTTATCCACACCATCTTTGGTCTGACAGTACTGACATTTCTGACGATTTCTTACCCTTTGTGTATCTATTATCTATGACTTTTAATCTGTGATTAAATAATTATTATTATTCAATTCCGTATAAACCATTGACGTTTAGTAATGGACATGCCTTAGCGGTCAGAATTTTAGTACAACAAAAGAAAGAGATAGAACGAAGTTTCGGACAATATCCTCTCGCTCACGATAGTGCGTAGGCGTGTCATGAAAGAGCACTAGTCCGAAACCATACGCCATTCCCTCACTTTTCGAGACAAGAAATTATTACTAATATATGTCTATGGTATGACCATAGAGTATGACTTTACTCGATGGACTATACAATACAATATTGGTACAGTAGTGTACACCCTTTGTAGATCTATTATCTATGTGTACACCCGATATAAGTAATCCAGATTCAAAGTTTACCAATAAATTGTGCGTCGTTTTTGGGTTCAGTATCATAATTGTGCGTTAATTAGTTCTGTTAAAAAAAGGAAAACTGTTTCAGGTGCAGATGGAATTAAATGTCAATTTATTCAAAAACCACTGAAGATGTGATAATTTAATAGACGTTAATTGATTGTATGTCATTTGTGCTTGAAGACTGATTTAATATGGTAAGAGGAATTTATCTTTATATTATTTATTAGTAATAATTGCATATAATACATAGACAAAATACTACTATTTTTCATTAATAGTACTAATGCGCGTGTGCCATTGGAGAATCATAGATAATATGAGCCATATATGAGCAAAGTAATGCCAGCGCATTATTTATATCGGGTGCCAAATCACACGACTTCATATGGTACTATATGAGTACCATCGACGTAAAGTAATGGACGTGCCTTAGCGGTCAGAATTGTGGAACGCCATAAGAAAGAGATGGAGCGAAGTTTCGGACAATATCCATCTCTTTCACAATAGTGCGTAAGCCTGTCATGAAAGAGATAGCGCTAGTCCGAAACCATACGCCATCTCCCTCACTCTTCGAGCCAAGAAATTATTACAACGACGTATGGCTAAGGCACGTCCATACTTTACGTCGATGATGAGTACACCGTTATATCTATGACTATTATGCATAACCCTTTGTGTATGTATTATCTATGATCTATGTGCATAACCTTACAAAAGAAACTTGATACATTGTTTATATGTTTCAAATAGTTAACATTAATACCATAATAACGATAAATTATTTTATTATGTAAGTATTAAATTGTCTTGAATGTTATAAAATTAAGTTATAATTAAAAATGTCGGACAAGGAGAAACAAAAAATGGCTCAACAATCAAAAAACATCCCAAAAGATGGACAAGTAATAATGTCCATCATGAAAGAAATGGGTATAACAGAGTACGAACCGAAAACAATTATTCAATTAACAGATTTCGTTTACCGTTATGCAACTTCAAACCTAGAAGAAGCTCGAAATTTCGCTAATAACTGTAAGAAAAAGTTCATTGACTTAGATGATATTAGGTTAGCCTTACAGTTGTCTAGTGAAAGTAGTTTTACTACTCCACCCCCAAGAGAAGCCGTGTTAGAATGTGCTCGTAACAAAAGCAACACACCTCTTCCAATTATAAAGCCACATTGTGGTTTAAGATTGCCCCCTGATCGTCATTGTTTGGCTGCTCCAAATTACACCTTAAAATACCCAACACAAAAAAAAACAGGTAAAATTACGTCGTCTGTCGCAACTGCCTCATCAGGAATCAAAATAATGACTAGACCAGCAGTTAGTTATATAAAAAGGAGTACTATTGGAACTGTTCAAAAACAAACAGTTACTATCCCCAGAACAGGTGATCAAAAGACAGTTTTAAAACCACGTATTCAAATAACTCAAAATATTCAAGTGGCATCACCATCAACAAACACAACTGCTATGGAAGTTGATCATAGTNGGTGTCCTTCTTGAGAAATTACGGAACCTATCGCCTTATCGCTAGCGTCAGTGGTAATAGAAAAATGTTTATTAAAATCTGGATAAGCTAAAACAGGAGCGTTTGTAATTAATTCTTTAATTTTGTTGATAGCCTCCAAATACGAGGGATCTTTAACATTAATTGATGTATTTTTCTTTAGACATCGCGTAAGGGGAATGACAATTTTGGAATAATTTTTTATAAATTTTCTGTAATAGCCACTCAAGCCTAAAAATGATTTGAGTTCTTTTACAGTTTTTGGTACAGGAAATTTGTTGATGGAAGTAATTTTGTCGGGATTTGGTTTGATTCCTCCAGTAGTGATTACGTGTCCTAAAAATGGAACTTCTTTTCTTAGAAATTCGGATTTATCTAAAGATACTTTTAAATTTACGTCTTTTAATCTTTGAAAAACTTGCTTTAAATGTATTATGTTCATGTATTGATTTTGAAAAGATTACAATGTCGTCCATGTAAACAAATGCAAATTTGTACAGAAAGTCACGTAGTACCTTCAGCGACCCTGTTACGAATATTACATCAGAAAAGCTAAACCAACCTCCCACCCATAAACGATTTCTTATAATTAAAAATTTGTTAATTCTACACAAACCTTCCTCTGCTAAAGGTGGTCCTTCGAGAAAACTTTTGAAGTTAAATGAAAAAATTGCAAATCATCACATCGCCCAAACACACGTTTGAGAGATGACTTTCCATCGTTATGAAAAATTTTGAGAACTGCCAAGAAAAAAAATAAAGAAAATGATAAACTGCAAATGTGACATTTCCTTAGACTTCCCCTTTGTCATACCTCGTCACGCTAAGTTCCCTCCAACTTTTTTGCGATCGTATTTTATGAACGGCTCGTAATTCATAATCATTTAACATTTTATTTCTGATTAGCATTCAGAGGCAAAACAAAACTTCTGATTGAATAAATTTTTTGTATTTATCTAAAATGGTTTTCTGTTACAGAATAATTACATATTGGTACAAATATTGTCACGCCTTTATGTTTTGTTGTAACCGATATGAACAATAAATTATGTATATATAAATATGATTCTATTATAATTTCCATTTTTGAATGCAAAATATGTATAATAAAGTCGCATAAGTAGTTTGTATCGCAAAATAGACAAATCTTTACTATTTATATTATTTTTTGTTAATATCTTACGCATAAATTTACCTATCTAACAATTAATTCAACTAAATAAAAGGCCACTTTAAACATCAATAAAAAATAATTTTCAAATTGCAATTAGTACCCAATTAATTAAAATATTAGTAAAGTTATGGCTGTTACATAAATTAAAATTTTACTAAATAAACATCAAGAATTGAACTAACTGGCTTATTAAAATAAATATTATATATGAATATCGTAAATATTTACAAACACTCTGGCTACTAATCTACTAATTGTAAGTTGTCGTTACTTTAAGTTTTAAATACATACTAATAATAATCTATTTAGTTATATACTTGAAAAAATAACACTTTCTGCACTTCATTTACATCCAAATCATAAAAGTTAACTGTGTGGAGTTAATGTTTTTGTAGAGATATTTTAAACATGTTACACATGTATATATTCTATTTTCACATCCTCATTTCTGTTTTTACTTTAAACTTTTTTTTGTTTTGATTAAATAAGGTGTTTCCAATTTAATCATCACATTTAATATTAATCTAACAAAAA